ATACATATATATACATATATATATATATATATATATATATATATATATATATATATATATATAAAATAAACTCCTCGTTTACAAACTTTTTTCCTTTTTGATTTTTTTTAAAAGATTAAACATCAAACATAAACACAGCCAATAAGTGCAAAGGATCTCATCTGAAATCGAATCGGATTTGATGAAGTCAAACTGACAACTTTGGATCAGAAGAGTGATCAGTATCAATATTGGCCATGGCTTCTGGTGATGCTTCTTCTTTCTTCTTGAAGCAAATTGACAAGCAGCAAGTACATACACTGATGCAAAGACCCAACAGTGAAAGTAGGACGACTATTGCCACTCCCGCAGCCATTAACAGACCAAATATAACCAATACAACCAGCTTCCCTGTCATGAAACAAACACATCACTTCTCTAATTAGTTCATTTTATGACCAAACAAAAAAAAAACACACAAAACCCAGTTTTCCTGCCACTGGTTTTAGATCTAGCTAGAGAGGGCATTTGAACGGCGAAATTCGTTTTTTTTAACTTGAGAATGAAGAAATGGATATCGAAATGCTTACCCGGAACCCTAAAGAAGAATAGACGTTTTGAATCATCATTGTCCGACCTCAGAGAGCGCGATCTCGGCATAGGATGACCTAAGAAATAAGATGTTGTATTGGATCAAAAGAAAATCCAAATGATCTCATATATATATATATATAATCATCTAAGATCCTAATATGAAAAAATTACTTACCCGGATAAAGGAACGTTTCAAACTTCAATATGCAATCTTGAGCGAAGATTGTCGCGCTCTCATAAGAAGCACAACACTGTAATATTTTCTCTAACCCTAATCTCAGACACTTGTTGCACTCTTCGTCACCTATATTAGGGTTACATTGCACCAAAGACTTCAACTTATACGAGTATTCGACCTCGACTTTGACCTGTCTAATTTGCTCGAAATGCCTTGACGATGAAGCATTAGGAATAAGATGGTCCATTTCATGAAACAATTTCGAACGGAAACTATCAGGAAATGGAGCAATAACTATATTAGAATGCCAATAGGTATAGGGTTTTTCATCATCGAAAACGAAGATCGAACTGTCTGAGTACCGAACCACGCATTCCTCGTAGAACACTATTGCCGATTTGTGGTTACTACAACTTCTCAGCAACGCGTTTGAAGCGGAGTTTACACAATCTTGGCATGAATTTGGGGTAATATCTCCGCGGCAAAGGAACATCCCATGAACTGCATTTGTGTTGGAACCGGACGTGGCATTGTAATAGCCTTCAAGAGATGATACGACTCGAAGATTTGAGAGAAGGGTTTCGATATTGGATCGGTACGAACTGGTTTCCGAGAAATTTTCGAAAGATTCGTGGCAGAATGTGTTCAAAAGGAGGCTGGAATGAATTGGAGAAGTGTTGGAAATGAGGAAGAACAAGAAGAGGAGACAATGAAGAGCAGAGAATTTGGTGGTTGCTGACATATTTTGATGAATTGTTGTTGTTTTTGATTTGTTTGAATCAGACAAACTAACATGAATAAATAGAAGAGAGAGAGAGTGTGTTATTTCATGATACATAGGACAAGTTGTCCACTCCACATTGTTAATTTAATATGAATAATTGGCTCTTGTTTATATTAGATAAATCATAATCTTCATGCCGTGGAAAACTGGCCAAGCTATTATTAGAGGAAATAATATACATTATCTCCTAAGTAGTTATCTTAGAAAGAATTTTAAAATCCAGAGGCTGTATAATCATATGCTTAAGGAATAATAATGATATTATAACATTAAAGAAAAACGAGACTTAAATTTAACCAAATAAATTAAAGCCCTAAGTTTTGTAACATTTTCAATGACTTTGGTAATTTTAAATAGATGAATTAGCATTTAAACAAACGTTATAGGAATGTGCAAGATTATAATGGGACTCTAAATGATTGTCTAATTTGTCCTGTTTTGCAGGTAATCTTAATTAGTTATGGTGAGCATTCTTTTTATGTGGTGGCATGTTTGACTTGGAGACATTATAAAATGCCTCTTAGGAATCTAACCATATTTTTATAAGATCGATAAGATTTAAAATACCACTTAATTAATTATATATATGTTATTAAATTGGAAAATTTTTAAACGGATGTAGACGGATATATATAAAATACCCTTTTTCTTATACTATAAAAATGATTTTGTTGTTATATTCCACAATATAATTAAAACTAGTAAAATGATATATATTTTTTACAACTCTAGTAAAAAAATATATTTTTATTTATAATTTGGAAAGTTTATTGTATTTTATAATTGGACTTACACGTTTTTTTAATTATTATATTAAATGTATGTTTATTTTTAATATTCAAAAATATTAGTTTTCAAAAAACTTTTTAAAAATAATTTTGAATTTTTTTTTATTATTTTTCATTATTTAAATCATTTTCCCAGTGATAAACTTAAAACTCAAAATCTCAATCAAGGACATTAATGTTTTTCCTCAAAATGTTTTTTAAATTCAAGAACTTTTTTGGTAAAATATGAGAGCAAAAATCTATGTATAAAATATTTTTTTAATCACCATTCATCCATAAAAAATCTATGTATAAAGAGAGAGATATTTCTTTTTTGTGGTAAAAGTGGTAATTTCGATTATTAACCGAATAATCGAACAGAACCGAATAAGATATAAGCGTATTCAAACAGAATCCGACATAAAAAATGAACGGTTATGATTTCTTTAAATCTTAAAAACCGAAACCGAATCGAATAAAAAAATAACCGAAAAAACGACAATACTTTTAAAAAAAATGAATTTTTTTTTATCGAAATCAAACCGAACCGAAAAATATTCGAAGCGAACCCAACCAAAATTTATATATAAACCGGATAGTTATAATTTTTCTATAACCGAAATAATCGAATCCGAATGTAACCTTCCACCCTATTCTGATGTACTAAACCCGAGAAAACGTGACGTTGGGAATGAAATGAATGCCAAAAAACAGACATAAGAATCAGATGTATGGCATTGGAATGAAAGCGAGACAAAAATCCATACTAAATGATTGAAAATTATCAACTTTATATCACTCACTCACATTCTAGGTTCACCAACCTATGAAAATTATAATCAAAACAAAAGATTAACAAATATAAAAAATGACAAAAACAAATATAAACGTAGGGATAAAATTATGAATTAATTACCTTACATTTAGATTTAATTTTACGTAATACAATTAGAACATAATGATAACATTATTAAGTAATTACCCATCTCATGTATTATACCTGGATCCGGATTCTCCACCCCAAATTAAAAACCTCTACAAAATCATTAGCCTTTTCCAAGAAAATAATGAAGTTACCCACACATTTTTTTCCCTGTATGATCTCAATGTATATATATCATCACAAAAGAAAAGGTATCTTCTTCAAGTCAATAGCAGTAGAACTTTTCTGCTGCCCAGCAATCTCCTTGAGGGTGGTCCATGTCTTTCTCCTCCTCTTACTCTTAGTCGATCCACCGACAGTTTTCTCTGGCCCTGTCATGGCCGTCGAAACAGTTTCAGGGTCATTCTTGGGTTTTCTTTTTCTCTGACCTCTCTCCAATGTAAGCATCGGCCGTGGTGTATTCACATCGCTAATCTCCGTCTTATCCTTCCCTGTTCTTTCGGGTGAAGAACTAGCGTTGCTAGGGTTTGCTGCATCGTTTTCCTTATGAGCGCAGCTTTCTTGAGGTATGTCTTTTCTGGTTATCCGACGAGGAGGAGGGACTTTCGGTTTGGGCGGGTAAATTTCTTTCATGTGACCTTTGGCAGTTCCTCTCCTCGAATTCCGGTGAGAACAGAAGAGGCAGTTGTAAATCACATTGTTCTGTGTCAAACCGGCATTGGATTTCTTGCGTCGAACATGCTTTTTACCAGGCGTTTTCTCGATTCTCACGGTGCAATTGAAGCCAGGCTGAAGAATGGTCTCGCACCTGCAATAAGACCCTTTAATCATGAGTCGTTCAGTTTGGCAAATACCATTCACAAGATATCCTCGATGTAGAGACCAATAAACCACGGAAGTATCGTGTGAAAACAGGCAGAAAAGTATAACAAAATAGCGAATCATTAGTCCGCAAAGCGGAATTTCTCTTTTGTTCTCTGACTGATACTTGATAAACAGACATAGCAGGAAGAGATAAGTGAAAGATAAGACGAAATAGAATAATCAAAGTCCATATATGTGAAGAAGATCAGACAATCCGCCAAAAGCTGATCCCTTAGAGCCAAAGGACCAAAAAAAAGTCTTAATCGATTTCTGCAAGTTTAACCTTAAAACTCCAGAAAAAGACAGTACCGTACTCAATCTGCAACATACAAGTTTCTTAGAAGTAGTGTTCCTAATCGATGATGACACAAAATCCAAATCAACGATCATATTCAAAACCCGTACTTATCAAGAACCAGACCGAGACCACATAGATTTAATGGATGACAAACTACAAAAGCCGCAATACCTTTGGCAAGAAAACATCTCGGGGTCGGGAGCAATCCCAGCAGTCTCTCCATCGGAGGCAAGACTTCGTCCGAAAAAAGCTGCAATGGACGGAATCGGAGCATCTCCGGCGGAAAACGACAAAGCCAGATTCTTCAAGTGGTCGTGCCTCAACACAGACTTCACCGAGATCGAACTTTGAGATCCCGATGGAGTGTTACCAAACTTCTTACCGCCTCTTCTCCCCATCTTCTACGTCGATGCAGAAATTCTGAACCCGAATTAAATTTGATTAAAACTACAAAAATATAAATTTCATTCAATTCAACATTCCCATATCTATCCACATATAATAGAAATTTCAATGCTATCCTCAAAACCCATATAAATGCAAACATATCATTGTCATGATACAAAGGAATGTCACGCTACTTATACAACTACCAATAGTCAACAGCAGAGCAGATAGAATTCGGCACTCAAGTTCCGGATTCAAATCCTAGAATCTCGGAGGTCACCGTCAGGGACGATCGCGAGTATCGCGGAATCTGCTTTCGATTTCTGAATTGAAGAAAGAGGTTACCTGCAGTAAGCAGATCTGCGTCACTCCTCCCTATCACGATTCCGAAGGACTGATAGCTGCGCTACGATCACCGTCTTCGGCGACGGCGCTCGACGCTTTGATGGCGGTATTGTCGCCGGTGAAAAGGGTCGCCACCGTGACAGTTTTTTCCGCTCCTCTATGCGCGCTGTCGTCGTCTTCTCTGTCGACCGACGGGGATCGAAAAGAGTCGCCTGGAGGGAAAAAAAGGCGACGGTAGCAATCGCCGATGAGAAAGAGGAAAAGGCAATGGCGGCGGTGAAGGCCTCTGAATCAGTCCCGAGTTGAAGAGAGAGAAGAGAAACTCATTTAGGGTTTGTGAAATAATATTAGCTAATGTATATTTTTTAACTATTCAATATTTAATCCGGAAACCGTCGAACAATATAAAGACAGACAGCCACAAACAACAAGCCTTGGCTGAGATTTGGTTCGCTCACCTTTTTTTTAATTGATAAAATTATTTTTTTGATCGATTTTTTACATGGACCATGCATGAATCGATGAGTGATAGTTCTTAGATATTTGGGCCTCAAACGGCCCAACATTTTATTTGGGTCACATTATGGGCCCAAAGAAACCACGCAGACTAGGATGCTTGCTTACGATCTCCAGGCCGAAACTACCATCACCATGCATGTCGGTCCACAACATATCACAAATCTATCAATACAAAAGCTCTCGGATTTGGAGCTCTAATTAGAAAATCCGGTTGTAATGTTGACACCTCACTACATATATATATATATATACACACATATATATACATGGTGTGACCTGTGAGAGACACTCTCAACACAAACAGTAACTGTTGAGATCACTTTCCCTACAAGAGAGAATCAGCAGGCGTTTTTGGCAGAGACCAACCTCTTGATTACCTCACTACCCCACATCTCTCTCTCTCTCTCTCTGTACATATCCACACGCGAGATATACATATGCTTATGTATGTATGTATGTATGTATGTATGTATGTATGTATGTATGTATGTATGTATGTATGTATGTATGTATGTATGTATGTATGTATGTATGTATGTATGTATGTATGTATGTATGTATGTATGTATGTATGTATGTATGTATGTATGTATGTATGTATGTATGTATGTATGTATGTATGTATGTATGTATGTATGTATGTATGTATGTATGTATGTATGCCCCCCCACTCTCTCTCTCTCTCTCTCTCTCTCTATATATATATATATATATATATATATACACACGCAATATGTGTAGAATCAAGCATATATGAATATACAGAGTTATATTTGTGTATATATATATATATATATATATATAATTGTGTATGTGGATGTGTAAATTAAAGGCCTTTCACAAGAATAGAGCCTTACTGTACCATTCGCACACCATCCCTATCTGAAAGCTCCTTTCAACACCCTCTCCTTCTATATCAATATCCCATCAATCAATCAATAACCCCACAATTTCTCTATTATGTTTCTTTTAAAATATTTTTTATAATATTGATTTTGGTTCAGATTCAGTTCAATTATATTTGGGTTCGATTATTTCGCTTATAGAAAAACTATAACTATTCGTTATTCGGTTTATATATAAACTTTAGTTCGTTTCGGTTTCGGTAAAAAATACGTTTTTATTCGGTTCTGTTCGCTTCGATTTCGGTTTTTTCAGGTTTAAAAAAATTATAATCGTTCGGTTTTGATGTCCGGTTCGGTTTAGATATGATTATATTTTATTCGGTTCGATTCGACTCGATTATTCGATTAATAACCGAAATAGCCACCTTTAATATTGATTTTTTTATTTAATGAGTTGGGATTTACATTAATACAATCTATAATATCATGTGAAAGTCACGAGGCATTCAAATCAAAATCACCGTTACCCCCACACACATATCCACAAAAATAAACAAAAAGGATTTTGTACCCTCTTATTAAATACACTTAAATATGTACTTTCAAAAGCGTTAACACTCCATTGACTCCTCTCTAGTATGTTGTGTAAAATGATTTTATAGGTTTCACAATACATATCATTTTAGATTTTTTCACCGTTTTTAAGGAAATATTAAAAAAAAAGTCACATATACCCTCATTAAATTATATTCTTATTAATAATCTATGAATTTGAATATTTATAATGAAGGATAAAATTGAAATCTTTCTTAAAAACTTATTTAGAAAATCTAAAACGATATCTATCAAAACAAAAAAAATTCTCCCAAACGATAATCCGATTGTGTTTCTCATTTTGAGGGTCAAAAATCATATTGAAACTGACTGTACTAACATCTATGGTATGTTATTAAATATTTGAAATAAAAAACAAATATATAAATAAGAAAATAATACAGAAAAATAAAACTTAGGAGAGAGGGCTCTCTGTCCCATGCAATGAAAGAAATAGCAAGCTGATTAAGACGAGCGAGAGAGAGAGAGAGAGAGAGAGAGAGAGAGAGAGAGAGAGAGAGAGGTTCTACATTTACACACGTTCTCTCTCTTCCGTTTTAGTTCAACAAACACATACTCTCTCTCTCACTTTGACATTACCCCTCTAAATATTAATTTAATTCTTATAATTCCCTTTTTAACATAAATTATATAAATTTGTTAGTTTACAACGGTATTGCTCTGTTATTCAAATAATTACATTAGTTTTTTTTTAAAAAAATTGCTAATTTAGATTTTGGATATTTCTAGTTTCAATTATTTTTAGTTTTTAAAATACATTCTTTATTGGATTTGTAAATCGATCTTACATTCGTAATCCAATCATTCTATTTAGGGGTATATGGTAGGGTCGGGCGTTTCGGTTCGATTCCGCGAACCGAACCGTTAAAACGGTATTTTTTCCGATCCGAAACCGTTGTTATTTTTCGAACAGTACCATTTTTAGAGAACCGAATTTTCCCGGAACCGAACCGAACCGAACTTTAAAAATTCCGAAAAACTGAATATTTTTAAAGGAAATCTAACATTTTTTTAATAAAACCCGGAACCGAACCGAACCGAATACAATAAAAAACCCGATTGGTACCTATTTTTGTAAAACCGAAAGAATCGAACTGATCTATTTCGTCCCGAACCTGAACCGTTTTCCGAAATGCCCACTCCTAGTATATGGTAACAAATTTACCACGAGGTGTGATTTTTCATAAAAATATTTGGAATTTTCTATATAAAAAGTATTTTTCGAAAAATAATGAAAAATTAGATATTTTCTTACAGAAATTTCCAAGTGCTTAACAATGTGTTAAGAATTTTCCTAAAAATGTATACTTTTAGGAAAATGAAAAAATTGATATATTATTTAATTTGGTAAAAAGGAAAAGAGAGAACTCAGGGCTTTTCACTTCGTCTTTTAATTCAAAAGTTGGCTTCGATTTTCAAATTAAATGTCAAATAAAATTCTCTCTTCTCTCCCTTTCTCTCTACTGATTTGTCTCTTGTGTCATCTTCCCTTTTCTCCGCTCTGATGTCCATTGCATCTCATTCTTCCATCTCAGAAACCCTAGATTAATCTAGGGTTTCCATGGTGGGTTTTGTTCTTCTACTGATCTGTAATCATAACAACTGTTCCGCCTCCTTCCTCGTTGCTTAAGCCTTTTTGCTTCCTCTGCTTTTTGCAATTTCAAAATCTGCAATTTCCTTCGCCTTCTGAGTTCGAAGTTAGCTTCTTCCTGGTTCTTTCCTTAGGGTTCTGCAACAATCTGGATCTTAGTCTCCCCCTCTGTTTTTTTTTTTTGGGATTTTGATTAAAAACTCAACTTGATTTTGGGTGTCACCATTCTCTGGAAAAACCTTTGTAAAACCCTAGTTTTGGAACGTCATTGTTGCTCTCTCTTGTCTCTTGGAAAGAGTTTAGGATTAGGATTCTCGCTCCCCCTCTTATTTCCCCCCTACTTTCAAGGGTTTTTTTTTTTCTGGGCGGTTGAGATTTTGTTTCAGAGTTCGGTCTTTCACTTGGACTCAACCACTGTTATAGGAAAAAGAACCCTAGAAGTTTCTCTCCACCATACTTGAATCCTCAGGGAGAAGCTTTCTTAGTTTTAAATGCATGGATGGGCGAGGAGCTATGGCATTCCCCGACGCACACTCTTCGTTCTACCATCTCCAGAGAGGAGCCTTCAGCGCGATCTCCGCATCCCAGGCGACGAATGCACTTCACGCGCCGCCCGGGATGAGGCCGATGTCCAACCCTAATATACCTCCGCAGTCCAATGCAGGACCTCCCTTCTCCATTGGCGAGCACAGGCACCAGGATTTTGGCCATGGCTTTCACATGGGAATGGCTTCTTCCGCGGCGACGCTGCCACCAACTCCAGCGACAGAGCCAGTGGTGAAGAAGAAGCGTGGACGGCCGCGGAAATATGCTCCTGATGGTCAGGTCTCTCTTGGGCTCTCTTCGTTGTCCTTACCTAATAAGCCTAAAAGCTCTTCCATGTCGGATCCCAATGCGCCTAAACGAGCCAGAGGCCGACCTCCGGGAACGGGAAGGAAGCAGCGTTTGGCTAATCTTGGTGAGGTTTCTATTAAAATCATGGCTTGCCATAGTTAAGCTTTGTAAATTCTGATGTAGACTTGTTAAATTGATGAACTTGGGATCTAGGGTGAAGTAAAATTGGACACTTTAGTACTGGAAGACGAGCTCAGATGTTGTTCCAGCTCTGCTGTAGGGATATTTGATATGCTTCAAGCCTTCAACTTGGCTAACCTATGTTTTTTGTTTGAAAATCTTATATATTGTACTATATCATCCACTATGTTGTTTCATAGGCGACGCTTTATCAAGAATGAGGTTAGCGAGGACCTGTAGTGTTTAAGCATGGTTTTCATCTGGGTCTCTTGGGTTGGGATTCATACTTTCCGTGTTACAAAAAAAGGGTACATCAGGCAAATAGAAAATCTGTTAGCTGGACATGAGATTCAACTCTTAGGTTATTGTTTCGTAAGCATATTCACTGAGTTGTTGTTACTAATTTGCTTACTACTAGGTGAGTGGATGAACAGTTCAGCTGGACTTGCTTTTGCACCGCATGTGATCAGTGTTGGAGTAGGGGAGGTAATGCCAATTCTTTCAAAACTTAAATCTCTGTCTATATGTTTGTGCTTCTGATATCTGTGTAATGAACTTGTTATGTTTTTGTGTGTATGTGGTTTTATGGTTGCATTTTGGAAATTATGTTTTTGGGTTTGCTGGGTACACGATGTTGGAAAATCATGAAATTGTTTCACTTTGACAATGGTGCATTAGCGGTCATACAAAAGCTGAGGGTAATAGTATTATGGTTATCTTCAGCTGATGTTGTCCAACTTACTAATTGGGTTTCAAAATGCTTCAATTAGTATTTTCCACATTGTATTCAGTCTGAAATTACTGCTCCCATGGCATGCTGATCGTGGGAAACACATTCTTGGGCTTATCCTTTCTGCAGGATATCATTTCGAAAATTCTGTCATTCTCTATGCAAAGGCCAAGGGCTGTTTGTATCATGTCTGCAACTGGAACTGTTTCTTCAGTAACGCTACATCAACCTGCATCTTCTGTGCCTTCTCTGTCATTTGAGGTTCGATCTATTCACTCAGCTCTCTTTGCACTCTCTGTTTTGAAAATGGCCATCAAGTAGCATTCTTCGTAAATGGTTGTGTATGTAGGGGCGATTTGAGATAATATGTTTGTCGGGATCTTATTTGGTGAATGAAGAGGGTGGGCCTAGAAGCCGAACTGGCGGTATTAGTGTCTCACTTTCTAGCCCTGAAGGCCGTGTGATTGGTGGTGGAGTTGGAATGCTTATAGCCGCCAGCCTCGTCCAGGTTTAGAATCTCTTCCTTAGCCTATTATTCTCCACGTTTAATTCTTGGAACGCAGTATTGTAGCTCCACCTTTCAAACTGGATTTTCACTGGTGGGTTAGATGTGAATTCTGGAAAATGATTTGGGGCTAAATTCATAGTCAAATGTATTCACTTTATGGCACCTTTTATCTGCCGAGATATGGATGATGATCTTTCACCAGGTTTCTACCACTATTCTTTATCCACATTGATCTAATGTCAAACTCTGATTTTCAGGTTGTGGCATGTAGCTTTGTATATGGAAGTTCAAAAGCCAACAAAGCAAGCAAGCAAGAGAATGGTCCAGAAGAAGAGAACGGCAATGACATTGGAACGCCGGCTGGCAGTAGTGCACCACAGCCATCAGCTCAGACACCGAACTTCTCAGCTCCTCCTACAATGGCCGGGTGGTCTGGTTCTACTGCCAGATCGCTCGACTCGAGAAACCTCCATCTCACTGATATTGACTTGACTCGTGGATGAAGGATGATGAAACTTTTCCATGTTATTTGCCTCCTTAGCTTGAAGCAGCAGCATACAGAAAGTGGGTGCTGTACATAAAATGTGTTGTAGAGTTTACTTGGATTCCCTGGGAATGATCCTCTGAAAAAATTTCCAGATTGGCCTGAGAGTTCTTGTTAGTTCCCGGGATGAAAACTCTTTCGAATTCCTAACATTTTGTTGTAATTGAAATCCTCTTCAGGGTTTAAGGCATCATATAAATCATTATTCCGGAAATCTTGTTTTCACAACCAGTACCTTGACATAACCAGCTTCTGGTGCTTGGTTCTTGTTCAACTCAGAGGAACATGCAAACATTTCGATTTTTGGCCACTGACAAATCCTGGTCTGGTTTTCATATTTCTCTTGATCTGGTTCGAAACCAAACAGGATGAAATCTAACAAAAGACAGCCTTCTGGCTCGGATGTCAGTTAAAGCCATCTCACACGCGAGTCCATCATCTAGGACATGCCCAGCAGCTTCCTTATGTCACGCTGTAATAACGAGAAGATCAGCACCAGATGTAAATCTACCAACAGAAAAAGAGATGTGGAATAATGTTGCTTTTACCTCGAGGCTAAGAGGAGAGGTCGTTGGGTAATAACGTTCAACGGCTTGACCGTTCTTGTCAACCAGAAACTTTGCAAAGTTCCACTGAATGTCGTCCCCAAAGATTTCCCATTTCCCCTTCTTCAAGAACTTGTAAAGTGGAGAAGCATTTTCCCCGTTTACTTCGATCTGGTTAAGGAAAGGAGTAAGTTTTAGTCATAAACCCTTCAATTTAGACAAGATCCCATAAACACATTTGTTCATAAAGACTGAGGTTGACAGAATTGTAATGTCTTTGAGGGCAATGAAGGAAAGTGTAAATGATGAATGTCATCATCATACTTCAAGGATCTACCTTTTCGAAAATGGGAAATTCTGAATGGAAGCGTGTACAGACGAATTCTGTAATTTCATTGTTGGTTCCCGGTTCCTCTTCACCAAACTGGTTGCAAGGAAATGCTAGAATCTCCAGACCTGCAACACAGAAAACTTCAATGGATCACATAAGAGAGCAGAGTTTGCTATTGAGACTTTTGAATTTACTCTTGAGTTTTATCAGAATATACAAATCTCGTTCCGTAAGGATCTTTGAGCAAAGGTTTATACGAAGAAGAAGACAGGATCAAGCATAAGGGTTCGATCCCTATTGCTGAACAGCAAGTACCTTTGTCTTTGTACTTGTTGTGCAATTCGTTCAATTCCGTGTAGTTTGAGTTTGTCATTCCACTGGAACAATCCGATTGATAAAACAAGAAACTTTGACACATCAATAAAAACCCAAGAAGCAACACATTGCAAACAAGTTAAAGCAACATCAAACGCTTATATGTATCTGTAAACAACATTGCCTCTACGAATAAAAACATGGTTTCCATTCGAACGGAAGTAGCTGAGAGAACAAGCGGAAATTACCACTTAGAAGCAACGTTGACAATCAAAAGGACTTTGCCTCTGTAGTTGCTTAGGTCTACACTGTTTCCCTTTGCATCCTGCGGTAAAAAAGAGGAAAATAACGTTTCACCACACCACAGCAAGTAAGAAAAAGAACAGAGAGACCAAAGTATATGGCTGAAACTCGGCAGTCAACACAAGTAAACAAAACATCCAAGCTGGGATCAATAATCATCAAATTCCCAAATGATGCTCAAGAAACTGCACATTATGCGGTAAAAGATCCGACAATACTATCTGTCTAGATCTAGTTGATAGTCTCCGAGCAACTTCTACAACTTTTTGGCAGATTTCTACATGGGAAGTTACATATTTGTGTGCTCTGTCTAAATACACACTTCACAGGAGATTTTCTCGGAACTTCCTTCGAAACGAGCCTTTTCTCTTATCGCATACATACGACATCTGATTTCGTGCCCTTTCATCAGATGAACACGAAGAATCAAGGGTTTGAGACAAAACTCCGAAACAGATTAAGAAAAACAAAAAGTTACGAAATTTCAATAAGGGAATCGAGAAATATGAACAGATCCTAGAATTAACCATTCAAAATCTCACCTTGACGATTATAGCGTACACTGATTCTGGGTCCTTAGCACCTTCAACGCTTGCCATTTTCCCTAAACGAAGAAGCAGACGCGGTAGAAGTGGAAGAAGAATAAGATGAAGAGGGACAAAGGGGATGCTCCGAAGCAGCTACGATCTATTGACACGTGTACGGTGCACAGTTGTCAAGGGGAGGCACAGAGCACACCTCTCGGTTTGATTTAAATTAAAATTTGGCATATATATAAAATCCCACCAAATTTGGCATACACACATTATATATATGTGTATATACATAACCCAGATCAAATTAATAAAAAAAAATCAAACTTTTTTTTATACAAATTAAGCGAAAATTCTGTATCCTGTAAAAGTTTATTTGTAACTAGATTTTTTTTAACTATATTAATATGCTGATATATATAATATATAATTGTTATTATAATAGAAAAGAAACCTAAACAATACATTGTTTTTGAACATTCTATAAACTCAAGATATATACTTAAATTAAATATATATATATATATATATATAATATAAATAAACTGTATATATAATGAAACGAACCCATATTCTATTATACGAATAACGCGCATATTCATCCAAATCCATTCTCATTAATTTTCACTTTTAATTTCCAATCTTCTCGAGCAAACCGCTAATACTGATATCAAAAGCATCTCTAAACCTCTGAAACTTAGAATCAGAGTGTCCGTAGATCAAAGCAGGCAAGAGCTCATACACAATATAACTCCTCATGTCTTCTCTCTCTCTTGCGCTCCTTTCCATCAGCTTCTCCACCACATTCACTCCCCTTCCCTTCACTTCCTCCTTGCTTATATACACCGAATATCTCCGGTGATCCTCCGGCAAGTGCCACGTGTACTGATAATACGCGGAGTAAGGATCGAACATCACTGGGATACAGCCTGATACCAGAGAGTCGAACACTGACTTCCTTGTCGGGCTGTCCCCCGGCGGCTGCAGACAGAACTCTGATTCCTGGAACATGTCGATTATCGTCTCTGGTTTCTCGCATCCTCCGTCTGAGCAGTTCAAGAATCTGCATTTTTCGTCGGGGAATGACTTGCACTGATCTATGATCGTCGATCTGATGCTCTCCGCCTTGCCGGGTCTTGCTGCTCCGGCGAAGCTGACCAAGCTCCGGCGAGGTTTGGTTATGATTTTAATCTGCCAGTTCGCGATATCATTGTCTGTCTGTGGGTGGAAGTATGTCGGGTGAGGTACAGCTATGTCATTGATCTGCCATGGATGACGTTCGATCAGAAGCTTGGTAGGGTTTTGCATTTCTTGGAGCTCAAGAAACCTCGACCCCCAAGAAAACTTGTCGTTTCTTCTGAAATCCCATGAGATCTTTCCCAGTACAAAGACGTGATCTTTCCCGGCGTTTCTCTTCCACGATTGCTTGGATCCGAGCCATTTGATCACCTCTATCCCTAGACTGTCCTTCACGTCCTCTGAAACGTTCTTGAAATGCCATCTCAGAACGTCGAGACCTCCGTAGAAGGGCACGTAGAACAGTTTCGCTTGGTTTTCGTCGAAAACCCTACACTGATGCTTCAGAAACCTCGAATGAAATATCGGCTCCAACGAGTATTGATGAGTTCTGTACCATCCTTTGCCGAGATTCTCCATCGGTTCACCCAGCGCATCGTTCTTGAAGTAATTGCAGAAGTTCGTCCACGGAACCATGTCTGAACACTGTCCCAACAAATCTTTGTTGAACTTTGAAGGTAAATCGTACACGTAGATGCCTTTCCCTTTACAAGATCCAGACTTATCATCGATGTTGTTCTTGTCGATTCCAGACACGAGCCACGATCTCTGCAACTGCAGATACTTGCTTAAGGCCTTCAGTGCACTCTCCTCGTCCTCGTTCTTGGAGTCGATGTATCTGAACTCTTCTTCTCCGCTCTCGATTTCCCATAGATCGAGATTCTCGTTCTTGGCTCTGCTTTCGCCGGAATCTTTCTTGTGATCCTGATCAACTACAGATCCAAGATTCTCCTTCGGGACGTCCACTGTTTTGTTATCACGATCGAGAACACGACCAAGATTCTCCTTCTGGACATACTTTGTTTTTCCGGCGCCAGAAATGGCAGTACCTCCGTCTCCTGTGGAAGTGCCATTGCCATAACCGACCGGTTTAAGGTTATCTCCGGTAACCGGAACGTGAAATCCCGGTCGAGAACCGGCAGAGAGACAGTAAAGATCGTTGAGCTTACGAGAAGAGATGCAGATATGGACGACGTTGCTGGAGACGACGGTGGACGAGGAAGACCATAAGTAGACAATGAACAGCAACAGAACCGCCAGAGGTATGCGAAAAAGAATCGATTTGCAGAAACTGGAACAGAAATGTTGAATAGAGGAACAAAGGATACGATGATGTCCTTTGTGTTTCTCTTCCTTTTCGAGTTCTGTCTTTTTGGAACTTCTCAGCCTTCTCTTTGAGACAGAGACCGCCATATTGATATCTGGTTCCGTACGTGTTCTTGGGTTTAGGGTTTTTTAAAATTTGGGGAGTTTATAGTTTTGAATCTGCATGAGACATGCACGCACGTAGCGTTGATTATATGAACGATTAGGCCAATAATTTTGCACGTCTTCTTGTACAGCTGGGTCAGTCGTATATATATATATCAGAGAAAAAATTGACCGGAGAAAATTAATTAATGTATTGGGTAATGATTAATTGCATCTTTCTAAAAGTACAAACATACAAATACATGAACCGTATCCAAGTAATTCGCATGTAAACATCTCCTCGTTTGCGTGTATCGTTAAAACACTGTGAGCCATTTTATATCGAGGAAAACGGCACGCAATCTACCTCTCTTCTGTTCAAAAACAGCAAAAACTGAATTGCCCGTGAGGATATCTTCATTCCGAGTAACCAAACCAAATATCATGCGCCAAAATATTTTTACAAGGGCACAAAACAAAGCTTACAAAACATTATTCAACATTCGTCTGTTGGTACAAATGGTTTAACCAACCGGGATAAGCACGGTTTTCTAAAACCGCTCAATCTGAATGCCACGGATCTCCATACGATCCAGCTTCTTAGGCCTCTTGTAGTTCTTCAGCAAGAGAGAGCAACAGACAACACTAACAGAAGAAGCAGCCATGGCAGCACCAGCAATCCATGGCGGCAACCTGAACCGAGTGGACGGGAATAGCACTCCCGCTGCAACGGGTATCCCGAGGAGGTTATACCCGAGAGCCCATAAGTAGTTGAGACGGATCCGGGAGAAGGTTTTCCTCGAGAGATCGATGGCTGTGATCACATCTTCCAGGTTGCTCTTCATCAGAACTATGTCAGCTGCTTCTATGGCAATGTCAGTTCCTGCACCGATTGCCATTCCTACGTCTGCAGCCACGAGGGCGGGTGAGTCATTGATCCCGTCTCCCACCATTGCCACGATCTGGCCTTCACCCTGCAAATCATGCATTTTCAAGCAACCTGGTTAGATTGATCTGTTTTTTTTAAGGCAACTATAATGGATGATCATAGGATGTCGGGTTTCGGTGTGTGGGGCCGATGTAACCTGTAGTTCCTTAATTTTCTCGGCTTTATGCTCCGGTTTGGCTTCTGCGATGACGGTTTCGATACCAACTTCCTGAGCAATGGAATGGGCAGTTCCCCAGTTGTCACCGGTCACCATGATGCTTCTTATTTTCATAGACTTGAGAATGGATATGGCTTCACGGGCGCTCGGTTTCAGAGGATCAGAAACAGCGATAACTCCGGTCAATTCATGGTTTATAGAGACAAGAACACCTGTCTGTGCCATCTCCTCGGCTTCCGCTAGCAAATCTTCAGCATCATGTGGAATATCAACTCCATAATCCAACATTAGATTCTTGTTTCCCACCATAATCTCATTCCCCTTAACAATGGCTTTTACACCGTGACCGGTGATCGACACAAAATCACGGGCTTCAGGCCATGAAGGGTTCTCTTCATCGTCTCTGAACTTCTTGGCATACTCGACAATGGCCTTCGCTAATGGATGTTCACTGTTCACCTGGTAAAAAGAAAGTAAATTGTTTTTTTTTATGAATGCTGCTAATATACGAGCTATGAATTTTTCTTTTTAATCTTCAACTGGAAAAAGGCGGATGAAAGCACCTCAGTTGCTGCAACAAGTTCATAGAACTCTCGCAGTACCATGTTCTTCAGGAGTTTTGTTGTTACGACCACTGGCTTCCCCATAGTGAGAGTTCCTGTCTTGTCAAAGACAATGCAATTTACCTACAACGTTATAGGAACCTGAAAATGTTAGATTCCATTTCCCCAAATACAAAGCGGCTAAGAAAGTTAACATTTATTTGGAGAATGTACAATGTAACCAAGTGCTAGATCGTAAGAACCAGCAACCTCAATGAATCGATTGCCCACTAACCTTATGTGCCCTTTCTAGGGCTTGCCCTCCCTTTATCAGTACACCTTGGGATGCACCGACCCCTGTACCGACCATAACAGCGGTTGGAGTGGCCAGTCCTAGAGCACATGGGCAGGCTATGACCATCACGGATATTCCAAACTGAAGAGCCAGCTCAAAGCTGTCCATTGAAGAAGGTATCCAAGATTTGGGGTACCAGTGCAGTTTCCCGGCTAAAAACCAGACAAGCCAAGTTGACATTGAGAGGAGAATCACCTGAAAATTTACGATGAGCGAGTCAGAAAAATGTTGTGCCAGTGAAAGACTCAACAAGCCATGACATTATCAGATTACTTACCAACGGAACGAAGTACTTGGAAATCCGATCAGCAAATTTCTGCACTGGAGCTTTGGCCAGCTGGGCTGACTCAACAAGCCGAACAATTTGAGCAAGAGCGCTCTCTGAGCCAACCTTTGTCACTTTCACATGCAAAACTCCATTCTCATTCACAGTGCCTCCTATTACTGCATCACCCTTTCTCTTTGCCACTGGCCTTGCCTCTCCGGTGATCATACTCTCATTAACATGACTTTGTCCATACAAAACATAACCATCTGAAGCTACTTTAGCACCAGGAACAATTTTGATCACATCGTTCTTCTGTATCAGTCGACTGTCAATCTCTTCTTCACTAATCACATTCCCCTCATCGTCTAACGTCAACAGTATTGCAGTATCAGGTGTCAAGTTCATAAGCTTTGCAATTGCTTCAGATGTTTTTCCTTTAGCTAGGACCTCCAAATATTTCCCTAGTATAATAAATGAAATGAGCATTGCACTGGTCTCGAAGAAATCTACTCCCTTGAAATCAGGAGAGGTTGCAGCTCTCAACACTGTATATACTGAATAGAAATAGGCTGCATTTGTCCCCAGTGCAATCAGCACATCCATATTAGCAGAACCCCGGCGTAAAGCCTTGTAAGAGCCAGTATAAAATCTCCAACCAATGAAAAATTGCACAGGTGTTGACAGAACCCATCTTATGATTTCTCCAATAGTGAGCATATTGATAACTTCAAAATCCAGCAAATGACCGATTCCAGGGATATACATAAAGACCATGGATGTCAAAAATACCGGTACGGTAAAGACCAAACTCCAGAGAAACGACTTATAGTACTGCTTAATCTCCTCCTTCCTTGGAGAATCTCTGCCTACTGCTCCACCCTCAGAAAATATTGATGCCCTGATATGACCAGAGGCAGTGGATTCTATCACCCGAATGAAGTTCCTCGGCCCTGTCATGTCGGGCTTGTACAGTATAGATATTTTATCAGTTCCATAGTGGATTTCAACCTCTTGGACCCCAGGAAGTGCCTCAAGAGATCTTTCAACCATTCTCATGGATTCATCGGTATACTCACCTTCAACCTTCAGAGCGATCTTACTCACATCCTCACCGGTACTCATAAGTATGGCTTCAAATCCAGCATCTTCTATTGCTTCAAGCAGTCGCTCGTAGCTGAGAACACTGGGGTCGTACTGAATTTCGGCTTCTTCGGTTGCTAATGCAACACGGGCCTTCTGTACACCATTAAGTGATTGCAGAACTCCTTCAATGGTGGATGAGCAAGAGGTACAAGTCATACCATTTATCCGTATCCTACATACTTGTGTGGACTTCTCATTCACTTCGTTTTCTATAAGTGATGCTTCGAAGCCAGCATCCTCGATAGTCTCTCGAATAGTTTCCTCCTACAAATCCCACGACCCAGATTAGAAATGGCGGAAAACTCGTGTTGCTTCTCATTTCACACAAAAGCAGAGAGCTTTAGATCCATCAAAATATTCTACTGGATATATAGAAATCGAGATCGGGCACTCAATTCCACATCAATCAACTAATTCGAGAGAAAATTCAACATGTACAAATAACCTAGTTCCCAATCAGAAGCATACAGTAAAAACACATCTACCCAAATCCACAGATACCGTAAAATATGAACTCAAATCAGAAATTGAAACTGAGATCACAGCTTACGTTCACAGAATTTGGGTAAAACAAGACTTGAGCCCGATTGTTCAGCGCATCGATGACAGCCTCACGAATCCCGGGAAGTCGCTTGATGGCCTTCTCAACGGATCCGGCGCAAGCGGAGCAAGTCATCCCGACGACTCGGAACACCGCCCTCGCCGCCACGTTACCCTCGCGATACGCCTCCTCCGCCGGAGATCCGCCGCCGCGGGAATTGCGCTTCGGCACCAGCGGGTACCGCGGGCCAAGCCCGCCGCTGTATCGCTCTTTCCGTAAGCAAGTGAGCGCCAAAACCTTGGTCGCCATGGGAGATAACCAGAATAAGCTTCGTATCCTTCGCGATCCTTCTTCTTCCTCTTCTTCTTCTTCTGGAATCTGATTAGGTTACGGCTCTAATGATGGCGGAGATTTTGAATGCTAGCTTTTTAAATAGGAATAAGAGGGAAAAAGGTTACGGTTGACCATTTGACAAAAGTTTTGGCCCCATTTAGAAATATCCAAAAAGTTTGGGGCCCATAAGAAAATCACTGTTTCACCACTTCATTTAAAAAAAATATATATATTTCCATACATTAATTAATATATTTATTCGCAAAGCATAAACAATGGTATATTAATTAATGTTATTATGCTTAACCAAACGTAAATTTATTCTATAGTTATTATATTTATTTTGTTATATTATAATAAAAATAAGATAATTAGAAATGAGCTAATTTTAGGGGGATCTTCACCCAAAATATCAATGTTCCACCTTGATTTTCTCTGATTTTCTAATTAATAATTTCCAATATTTTATTACCGTCTATATAATCTTCTTCTATTGACCATTTCCATTTTTTTTTTCGTTTAGTTTCCTCGTCGTTCATCTTCATTTCCTTAGAAGCTCGTCCAACTTGTTCATCGCTAGAATGGTACGTATTAATTGTTTTGCTTTTGCAATGTGTTACGTTATTTTTTTGTTCTTTCCTTTTCCCTTTTGTTTTTTTAATATTCATATCAAGAAATAATTAATGGGTTTAGATTAGGGGTGGGCAAAATATCCGAAAAATCCGAACCGTTCCGTTATTCGATTCGTATCTAAATCGAAAATTCGGATATCCGGAGTTTACGGATCGGATACGGATATTTATTTGGATATATTTGTTGGATACGGATCGGATACGGATATTAAAATTGAATTATCCGACATATCCGATAATTTTTGAATATTAAGATTTATTATGTTTAATGTTTTAAATTTTGAATTTTAAATATATTTGTATGTGATAAATTATAATTGTATTTGTATTTGAGTTGATTTGAAATGTTTAAATTACGAATTTTAAATTTGTGAATATTATTTATCTTAAATAGATTATATATTTTATTTACGTTTAAATTTGTTATTTAATTTAAATTTAAAATTTTATAATATTTTAGATCGGATACGGATATATGCAAATATCCGTGATTTTAACGAATATCTGAAGTTACGGATATCCGAAAATTACGGATCGCATACTGATACGGATATCTCAAAAATTGCGGATATCCAATCCGTACCTATCCCTAGTTATTATGGTTATTATGGCTTAATGATGACGTAATTCTAATATTCTTTTTTTTATTGTTGCTTCTTTCATTAAATTACGGTGTCATTTTCTTTGGACTTTTTTTTTATATATACATTTTATTTGTTAAATCGTTGGACGTGTATAGATTTGTATCCTCCACTTTCGCTTTTGGCAAGCCATAGGATTTCATTTTTTGTAAACCATTTTATAATTATATTATGATAATATTTTGTGAAATTAATATCGGTGTATTTTTTTTAGCTTTTCTCGACGAAAGTTGATTCCTTTTATACACGTGGCAGCATATTTTTTTTTTATTAAAGTCAACTTTAGGTTCGATTACAGATTGATACGCAATATCGAATATCTTAAGCTTATCCTGTCTTGTCTTGGAGGACACACAACCACACATTTTCAAGCCAAATTGACAGTTCTCCACATTTATATTATATATATATATATATATATATGTATTTACCACTGTTTTTATTTAAAAAAAAGTGTGGTTTATTTATATGTAGTTAATTATCTAGATTTTTTCATTTTTTTAACAGAAAATTTGTAAAAAAAAAAGATGAGCTTAATGTTACTGGTTATGAAAAAAATGTAAATGGGTTTATTTAATTGTTCGTGTTCTTGTTTATTTATTAAATTTATGGATTAAAAAAATAAAAAATAACAGAAATGGGAGGCGTTTCCTGTCAAATGATCAAATATAAAAACTATTGGTTTGTACGTATATATATGCATCTACGTGTATTATTTCATTTGAGCTGAATATGATTGATGATGATGATGATGATGATGATGATGATGATTGGAATTAAATAAATTTGGAAAAGGCGAATTCATCGTCGGGGATGCACGTGGACGACGAGTGCAAGATTAGGTTTCAAGAGCTGAAGGCGAAGAGGATATACAGATTCATAGTGTTCAAGGTCGACGAGAAGCTCCAGCGAGTCACCGTCGAGAAACTCGGCGGTCCCACCGAGTCGTACGACGATTTCGCCTCCGAGTTGCCCCAGGACGAGTGCCGTTACGCCGTCTTCGACTACGACTTCACCACCCTCGAGAACATGCCCCGCAGCAAGATCTTCTTCGTCGCCTGGTACGTAACACTTTGCATGCATGCATGCATGTGTGTATATATATATGTATATGTATATTATATATATAACTGCGTATAAATGATAATGGATAAAGGTCGCCGACAACATCGAAAGTGAGAAGCAAGATGCTGTACGCGAGTACAAAGGACAGGTTCAGGAGAGAGCTTGATGGTGTTCAATTCGAGCTTCAAGCCACTGATCCTAGCGAGATGACTTTCGATATAGTCAAGGAACGAGCCTTGTGATTCACATTCTTCATTATATATGTATGTATGTATATCATCACAATTTTTTTTTAACATTTATACTATTTGTTTACCCATAAAAAGAAAGACGCATATATATATTTTTTAATTTTAAATCGAATTTAACTTAAGGGTTTATGAAATGCCATACTTGAGTCCATATATATATATATATATATATATGTATATATATATATATATATATATATATGTATATATATAATATGTTTAGGGTTTTGTGCAAAAGATTCTCATAGATTAATCGTTTTGATACAAGACAATATATACAACTTAAATGGAAATACATAAGGCAACACGTTAATGAGAGAATCAAATTTAAAAAGATTTTCCGAGATTTTGTATAACCATATATTCTTATTACGTCCCCGCAAGATCGGTGTCTGATGCGAGACCGATCTTGGTACGCAAAAGATCAAACCGTTGCCTCGGGAGTGGCTTCGTCAAACCGCCGGCTAGCTGATCGGTAGAAGAAACGTGAGCAACGCAGAGTTTCTTGGCTTGGACGAGACCTCGGATGTAGTGGTAATCAATAGCAATGTGCTTCATCCGAGAGTGAAAAACTGGATTGGCCGAGAGATATGTGGCTCCGATATTATCGCAATAAATTACCGGGACATGGCTTAGTGTGACGCCAAGCTCTGAAAGAAGGGAGGTGAGCCATTGGACTTCGGACGCGGTCGAGGATACAGACTTGTACTCGGCTTCGGTGGAGGACTTTGCCGCGAAACGTTGTTTCTTGGATGATCAAGAAACTGGATTCCGGCCGAGATAGACAATGTGGGATCCGGTGGAAGTGTAATCGTCTCGGTTTCCTCCCCAATCGGCATCCGAAAATGCATGGAGGGCAAGAGTGGACGAGTTCGAGAGAAAGACTCCAAGAGACCGTGAGCCACTTAAGTACTGAAGAACACGCTTGAGCGCTTGCCAGTGATTGGTTGTTGGTCGGTGCATGAACTGTGACAGCTTATTCACAACAAAAGCAATGTCAGGTCGATGAATAAGAGGTATTGGAGCTCCCTAATACCTGCTTGTACTCCATGGGATCATCAAGCTCGGTGCCGGAATGGAGATGAAGAGCCGAGGTAGATGGAAGCGGAGTCGGAGCCGGTTTCGCTTCATTCATATGGTGTCGTGATAAGACATCACTGATATAGCGACGTTGAGTGAGGAGCAGACCCTTCGGTGTGCGATTCACCTCGACACCGAGGAAGAACGAGAGTGTGCCAAGGTCTTTTAGAGAAAACCGACTAGCGAGAGGGTCGATGAACTGCTGACCCTCCTTAGCATCATTTCCCGTGATTACGATATCATCAATGTACACCAGAAGATAGATAATGACATTTTGACGGTTAAAGATGAATAAGGAAGTGTCCGATAGAGAGTCGACAAACCCGGAAGCTACAAGGAAGCGGCATAGCTCGTTGTACCATGCCCGAGGAGTCTGCTTTAGTCCGTAGAGAGCTTTATGGAGGTTGTGTAACGCAAACGTCTTCATTCAGAGAGCCTTGAAGAAACACATTGTTGACATCAAGTTGGCGGAGGTCCCATCCTCCTGTCACCGCAATACTCAAGACCACACGAACCGTGGCTTGCTTGACAACGGGGCTGAATGTGTCGGTGAAGTCAATGCCCTGTCGTTGATGAAAACCCTTGGCGACAAGTCGAGCTTTGTACCTGTCAATGGAGCCATCAGAGAGACGCTTAGTACGAAAAACCCATTTACAACCGACCACGTTAAAGGACGGGTGCGAGGGAACGAGACTCCAAGTGCCATTACGAAGTAAGGCATTGAATTCATCCATCATCGCACTCCGCCACTTGGGATCTTTCAAGGCTTGTGACACACACGTAGGTTCCAAGTCCAGGTGTTTAGTGAAAGTAGTCGAGAGAGTGAGTTTTTGAGAGGGCTTGGTAATACAGTTTTTGGCGCGAGTGGTCATGGGGTGAGTATTTTGTGGAATTGGACAGGGTGGTGATGGCTCGGTTTGTTGTTGTGGGCTAGATATAGGCGATAGTGGTGGTATCGGTGGAGAGGGCTCGTCGGGTGAAGGGGGAGGTTGCAAAGATGAAGGAGACGAAGGTGGGCTATGTCTCTCTGAGGCAGTGGAGGCTGCATCTCGAGCAGGTGAAGGAGCCGAACTGGGGACGGTGGCGGGTGACGATGTGCGTGATGATGGCCAGACCAGAACCACAGACGAGAGAGACGGAGAGGGATACGAAGAAGAGACGGGCAGTTTTTGCTGAGAAGCCGACAAGAGCCAAGTGAAAGGAAACTCAGTCTCATGGAACTCAACATGACGGGATACATATAGCCGAGAAGTAGCTACATGAAAACAGAGAAATGCACTTTGAGTGAGAGAGTATCCCATAAAGACACACAGAGCCGATCGTGATTCGAGTTTATGACGGGTATATGGTCGAAGCCATGGATAACACAAGCAACCGAAAGAGCAAAGTTTGGAATAATTTGGTGAAGAACCGAAAAGGAGTTCAAAGGGACTACGATTTTGAAGAACCGGTGTAAGGAGTCGGTTCTCGATTCAATAGGATAAAGCCTGGATACCGAGGTTAGACTCAGAGGGTTAACTCGTGTTGCAACGCAGGTAACTAATTAACTCGTCTTCTCTCTCTCTCTATCAAAGATGATTTTCTGGAGATATTTAATTGCAAAAGTAAGTTGTGCGACTCGGTTTCGCCGTCCCTCGTCGTGTTAATGTTCTTGACCCTGATTCTATGGGTGGTGGTGCATGGCCTTCCAAATCTCATATACAATCAGTTGGATGATGTGTCTCTTGATTTGTTCCCTTGTTGATCAAGTAAACCGCAGTGGGAAAGGCAAAGGTCCAAAAATCCGAAGGAATCGAAGCTTGGGAAAGGAGAGTGAGCCCGGTCTCGACTATGTGTCAGTGTTTTCGCTCGGAAACACCATTGTGTTCCGAGGTGTGAGGAGGAGAAGTAAAATGTGAAATACCATGAGTTGACAAGAAATCTTTGAGAGCGATGAACTCTCCACCATTGTCGGAATAAAAAGTAATGATATGTGTTTGAAAACGTTTTTCCACTAGAGCCTTGAACCTAGGAAATATTTGAGACACGTGGGATTTTTGTCGAAGAGGATAAAACCATGTGTAACGTGTGAAATGATCAACAAAAATAACATAATATTTGTAGTCATCAAAAGAAGTTATCGGTGATGTCCAAACATCTGAATAAATGATATCAAGTAGGCGAGACGATGAAATTGTGGAGATTGAGAAGGGAAGCTTATGACTTTTGTTGATTGAACAAGACTCACAAGAAAATGTTTGACTCGAAACATCCGACAATGGAAGAGAAAAATGTGTAACAATAGAGCGGAGGACATCTTTAGATGGATGACCTAATCTAGAATGCCATTCGGAGAACGAAGTCTAGACACTTGAGAGTGCAAGAGCCGATGGCTTATTGGAAGATAAGAGCAGGAGATGAGGGTTTGGCCATTCATACACACCATCATTGAGGTGCCCGATTGCCACTATTGCCCCCGTGTTGAGATTTTTTACCTGAAAGAAATGAGAAAAGAATTCAACCGAAACGTTGTTAGAGAGACATAGTTTATGAATGGAGATAAGATTTTTGTGCATGGAAGGTACGCAAAGAACATTCTTAAGGGAAATGGGATAAGAGGTAGAGGGAAGGTATGAAGAACCAGTGTGTGTGATAGCAAGCCCTGAACCATCACCAATGATCACCTCATCACCGCCGTGATATGGCGAGTGAAGAGACAAATTGGCGAGGTCGGTTGTAACGTGATGGGAGGCTCCCGAATCAAGCAGCCAAGAGCTCGGTGATGGAGATGAGGCGCTGGTTGTGTATGCTGAGGGCTGCCAGGGCGACTGTCCGAATGGTGGAGAGGATTCCGCCGGGAGCCGAGGTGTAGAGGAGGGCAGCAGGCGGCAGAACTGTGCGCTGTGGCCCTGTGTCCCACACAATTGGCACTTGCCAAGATACCCACGACCTTGAGGACGAGTCGGAGCACCGCGATGTGGCTGGTGGTGCTGGCGTGAAGGCTGGCCACACGAGGACGATGGGGGCCGAGGGTTGTGAGGGCTGAGCTACGCCAAGGCGGGCGAGAGCCCTGTGCAACATGAGCCAAGATAGGCGTTTTCAGCAGAGGGACCGATACAACAAGGTCGACGTCATGGGTGAGCAGTTTTTCGTGTAGTTCGACAAAAGATATCGTCGTGTCACGAGCAAGGACGATATCCTTGACTGGCTTGTACTCCTCCCCGAGTCCACCGAGAATGAGATCAACTAGGTCTTCATAGTCCATAGGCTTGCCAAGGAGAGCAAGTTCATCAGCCTTGATCTTGAAGAAATTCATGTACTCGTCGATTGATTTTGCGCCTTTGGTGTGTCGACGCATGAGATCCTTGATAAGCTTAACATGTCCTCGACTTGAACGCCCATAAGTCGAAGCAAGGATGGCCCAGACAGCTCCAGAGGATGTGGCTGACGCCACGAGTGCCTGGCACGAGGCAGAGAGTGAGCCGAGGAGGGCTGAAAAGACCAATCTGTCTTGACGGAACCATGGTTGGTAGGTCGGGTTCGCAGTCACATCATTGTTGACAATGATGGTGGGGACAGGGACAAGATCGGGATCGAGAAAACTGTCGAGGTTGTAGCCTTGGAGGAGAGCCCTGAATTGGATGCTCCACGTGAGATAATTAGAAGCAGTGAGTTTCGCAACATTCGAAACATTCACGTTGATCAGAGGATTCTCGGGACCGTAGGGAATGATGGTGTCATTCGGAAGAGACGAGGTGGAGGAGGATGGTGCTACTCTTGGCGTGGGAGTTGCAGAGGCGGGTGGAGTGTCGGTAGCCATGGCCGAGTCGTGGCGGTGCTAGAGAAGACGTGGGAGAAAGACGGAAAAGAGGAAGAGATGGTGGAGCACAGTGTCGTTAGACAATTGTCGGCTCTGATACCATAATATGTTTAGGGTTTTGTGCAAAAGATTCTTATAGATTAATCGTATTGATACAAGACAATATATACAACTTAAATGGAAATACATAAGGCAACACGTTAATGAGAGAATCAAACTTAAAAAGATTTTCCGAGATTTTGTATAACCATATACTCCTATTAATATATGCGTCTATCCCTTAGCATCTCACATACTTTTTGAAGGACAGAATCACATACCTCTCCAAAACGTTCTCTTCCTTCACATTTAAAAAAAAAAAAAAACGGCGGTTGAACAGTCGTCAGACCAAACAAACAAAAAAGAATGTAAAACACATTACAATGATTTACAGAGTTGGTTTCAGTTAGCGTTGGAGTCTTCTTCTTCTTCATGAGGAGAGGGCTAGCTCGGCCCAGGCCAAAGAAGATGACACCAGCTCTGCCGAGATAGACAGAGTGATTCTGCTCTCGAGTTTCTCGCAGAGCTCTTGCATTGCTGGCTGGTCCTGGTCTGGGTTCATGCATTGGCTCGCCACTTCGCATATAGCCTTCAGCTCTTCCTGCTTGAAGTGGTGCTTCAGCTCCGGATCCACCAAATTCCCCATCCCATCTTCCACTTCCAGGAATTCCTTCGCCTGCAATTGCACCAACCCGTGTTTTCAGTTTCATCAGACGCAATTTTGAACCTTTCTTATCCTCTACTCGGGGGGGGGGGG